TGACAAAATTTGGTTTGACCGAATCCTTTTTCTAGAAAACAGACAAAAAAATTTTGGCACACACAAATTTTGGTCATTTGTTGGTTTGGCTTTTTTTGTTTGTCTCGGTTCTGAAATTCAGAACCGAGACAAACAAAAAAGGTGCAAAAATGTGCCAATCATTCTATTGCAAAATATATACTAATATAATAATATTTATTGTGCAGTACACTGATTATCATTATTATTTTAGCGCCAGGAAATTCCATAGTGCTGTACAGTGGGAGCATTTTCACGCCATTTGGTTCTCAGATCAAGTGAGTAAAAGTAACCAGTAGCTGTTAAAAGAGGAGGAGCAGCAAAATGATTTATTAAATATATAAAATATATATATGAATATAATAGATAGATATAAAAATAGAAATATATATATTTTACTGTTCATCTTTTTTTCCATTACTTACCACTTGATCCCTGAACAAAATCAACATTTAGTGACAGTATACTATCCATCAATTATCTTGTTTTCCCCATTAATCAACTCTTTTTTTTGTGCCATGGTCCGAATTGATTAATTAAAACAAACATGCTCGGCATTTGTGCAGCTCGTTTGCTTCTTGATTTGTGTACATTTTAGCTCAGTGGTTAGGAATTCAACTGATCATTGATTGGCCCAAATTTAGAAACAAAATTAATCTCCAAGTCGCATAAATATACATTATACAGATTAAGGAACAGCGCACACATAAAAATACAGTTTTTAAGGCTTTTGTAATTAAGATAGCCTTATAATGTTATAAGGCTACTTAAAATAACCTATCTCAGCAAACAAATATGAGGGTTCGGTTCCAAATATGAGGGTTCAGTTCCACCATATGGCCATATTGTGTCAAGCCCACCACTACTTCACAGCACCACAATATTGGTGGGTCCTACACTAATTCCAAGGTAGGAGACAAATGTAATTATAATTTTCATTTAGTATAGAGTAGAAATATGATATGCATTGTAAGTATATACATCAAAACACTTTAAATGTTTAGTTTGGACACTGCATTTTTTTTAATTGTGTTTATCACATTAATTTTGCACTATATATATATATTCACAATACTGTTACAAAAGATTATTAGAATACACTTTAGTTTATTTAGCACTATTTCATTTGTCTCCCATGTTGGAATTAGTGTAGGACCCACCGATATTGGGGTACTGTGAAATAGTGGTGTGCTGGACACAATATGGCCATATCGTGGAACTGAATCCCTAGATTTGGTTGCTGAGATAGGTTATTTTAAATAGCCTTTTAAAATTATGAGGCGTTTTTAATTATAAAACTCAATAATGTTGAAATAATTTTCCTTTTTGTAGTAATAGTAATTTTTCTAGCCATGTATTGTGTATTTTTGGAAAGAACCTACACCTACATTAAAATAATGTGTGCTGAATATTTTGTATGCTCCCATCACACACAATGGCACATGATCAGTGTTACTTATTTATTATGTTTAGTCCATTTATGTGCATTAAATGTATGTATGCCTACCATAATGACAAAAGAAAGGAAATGGCGATTTTCAAGTAAGACATTTCTACTGTTAAATATTCATAGTACACTTAGAGCACTAAGAAAATATTATCTCAGACAGAAGACAATTTCTGAGACAGCCTAGAGTAATCTCTCTGAGAGAATGAAAATATGGAGACCATAAAAAGAATATCTGGGAAGAGTATGTGGGGGTTGGAATTTGCAGTTTGACATCTTGCAACAACAAAACATATGTATTCTTCCACTGCATACCATGACTTCATCAGGGCTTGAAGCATAAAATTTAGACTCTTCCTTTAGATTGGACACAATATCATCAGTAATAATGGTCCAACATTTAACTTGTATATAGATCCATAAACTTTACATAGGAAAAACAATAACATATTGTGCTTTATGAATATATTTATATTAGATTATCTGTCTGTTTACATTTTGTTCAGTGCGTCTTCCTGATGATAACTCTGTATTTAAAACTATCTCCTAATATGTAACATCACGGAGTGAAGAGAGGGATTGAGTATAAACTATGGATCAAGACCTGTCATATCTCGCATGACACATAACAGCCATGTCTAGATTAGCACCATTACTTCCATCTACGTGCCAGCCCTTGTATAATCTATATCTCTTTATTTGGCTTCTACTAATTACAGTCAGACCTTTAATTATGTTTTACGGTAAAGGAGATGAGCAGGGAAGCCAATTGGATATATTAGCATTATCTTTTATGAAGGGTAGAGTGCCTTATGTCAGATTTTGCTATTATGTGTTTGTCACGCTAAGACTCTGAATACAACTTTTCCTACTAGACATACCTTGGGTGTTTTTAGTGACAGTATAAGCTTTTAAAGTTCTATTTATCTACCAATTACATCATCAGTTTCCAAATATTATAGCTATTGTTCATTCTAAGAGTCAATATTGTGACACATTGGAAATTGCAAATACACAATCCTTATACTATATGGATTTTTAATAACAGATATTTCATACATGGATTTGTACAACGTGTCCACTTACACCTGCTTTTTCAGTCTTTATATGAAATGTAAAAAAACAGACAGATCCATTTTTCCATCCTATCTCATTAATGGAGCCTTTTAACCAAATGTGTTATACCAATAATGATGAAACATGTAATTATACTACATTTCCAGTATAAACATTTTGTTACTTCAGTGTCTGTCTGCAGTCCATGGTTTCCAAAAGTCAAGAATTAAGAAGCCCTGATTATCATCACAGCGATTTTCTTTTTGTGTGGTGTCCTACTCGTAGGGACAGCAAAGATAAGTTTAGCAATCACAGAAGAGCATAACCACTCCATAAAGTATCATTGACTATTAGCAGTTTTTTTCTAATGAAGATAAACCTGCAAGTATAAAAAAAACATTTATTTGTTTTCTTTTTGTATATGTCTGTCAACTCAAACTTAGGCTTTCAAACCATTTTTTACAAAACAAAATAGTTTTAGGTCTGTCCATTGTAGGCCACCTTTGAAAAAAGTTAACTTGTAGCATCTTAACTGACCCTGAGTTCCAGCTTGATGCTGATTGGCTGTTAAATGATTCTCCGTGACAACGGATGTTGTGAAGATATATGTAAAGGACCAGTCAGTTTGCATGAAGAGTGCTGTTAGAATAAAGCACATTAATTTTTGCCCATATTTATGCTGATCTGTGGGTCATCCGAATCCTATAACTCCGAAGTGCCGTATGTATGTATAACTGAACAAATAACTTGCCCAATTTACAAGTATATTTGTTTGATTCTTGATTTGGGGGTTCTGTCTGTGGCACCTAAAAAGAGATGAGGGGACAGCTACTAAATGCTGATTTTTTTCACAGATTGGCGAAAACAGATGAGATGTGAGCAACAGAGGGAAAATAAAGGAGGAGCAGTACAAATATATATTTATGATTGTATATTTAATAAATGTGTGTAATATATAAATATAGATTTATTTTGCTGTTCCTCCTGTTTTTCCCTCTATTGGTTACTTTTTCTCACTTGATCTATGAACCAAATGACAGGCAAATACTCCTATTAGTGTACTACAATACATATTGAAATTATGTATATATTCTGTAGTATACTGTTTTGCTCTCTATTTGATCTTCTGAATAATTTTCCCAGATATTTCTCATGGACTTTATTCGGATATGCCTAACTGCTAAATGGATAGTGGACTAACCAAACTACATTTCATTTTTGGACAAAGTGATTTGAATTTTTCTGCCATGCAAAAGTCTAATGGGCATCATCCCCCCTGTTGCACACTCAGGCATTAATTTAATATTTTTGGATAAGCTTTTAGAAACATAGAAACAGAATGTGATGGCAGATAAAAAACGTTTGGCCGATATAGTTTGCCTAATTTTCTAAATGCTTTCATTAGTCCATAGCCTTATCTTATAGCTAGAATAAACTTATGCCAATCCAACTCATGCTTAAACTCCTTCACTGTGTTAACCTCTACCACTTCAGCTGGAAGGCTATTCCATGCATCCAATACCCTGTCAGTAAAGTAATACTTCCTGATATTATTTTTAAACCTTTGCCCCTCTTAAGACTATGTCCTCTTGTTGTGGTTGTTTTCTTCTTTTAAATATAGTCTCCTCCTTTACTGTTTTGATTCCCTTTAGACATATGCAATTTGTTTTGCTCCGAATATATATTCAGCCGAATTTCGGCAATTCGGACATTCTGAATTTAAAATGCTGAATTTCGGAAGTGCAGAAATACCAAATTTCGGAAGTGCATAATCGAACCAAAAAAGTGCCAAATTGCCGAATTACTGAATTGCTGAAGTGCCAAATTTCGGAGGGGCCGAAGTGCTTTGAATTTCTGAAAAGTTGTAAAACAAGAGAGGGAGGGATAATTATGTGAATACCCCTAATGCTACCCCTGACCCAAACCCTAACCCTACCCCTAATTCTACCCCAAACCCTAACCCTACCCCTAAGTGGTAGGTTTAGGGATAAGGGTAGGGTTAGGGTTAGGGGGTAGAGTATCGGTAGGGTTAGGGGTAGGGTCATGGGTAGGGTTAGGGTTAGGGGTAGGGTTATATGTAGCGTTAGGGGTTAGGGAGCCCTACAGATGTGTAAGTGGTTGTGGTGGCAAGAGAGTGATCCTTACGAATGTCTAATTTGGTGGATTCCCGAAGTCCCGAAGTGCCAAAGTCCCAAAGTCCCAAATTGCCAAAGTCATGAATTTTGGAAGTGCTGAGCCGAACCGAAGTGCTGAATTTCGAAGGTGCCGAAGTGCTTCGAATTTCTGAAAAGTGGCAAAACAAGAGAGGGAAGGATAATTACATGAATGGTGACAGGAATCTAGACCAATAAGCTAATTCCTGGCACTGGGAGTGTAAGTGGTTGTGGTGAAGTCTGGGCACCTAACCCTACCCCTAACCCTACCCTGAACCCTATCCCTACCCCTCCCCATAATCCTGGCCCAACCCCTAACCCTACCCTTAACTCTAACCCTACCCTTAACCCTACCCCTAACCCTACCCCTAGATGTGTAAGTGGTTGTGGTGGCTGGGGGTTAGGGTTAGGAGTTAGGGTTATGGGTAGGGTTAGGATTAGTGGTAGGTTTAGGGATAAGGGTAGGGTTGGGGTTAGGGGTAGGGTTAAGGTTAGGGGCATTTCCTGCTGTTCTATTACATTGTCTGCCTACCTTTAAGTCATCTGAAATAATTACCCCTAAATCCCATTCCTCAGATGTTGAGGTTAGGACTTTATCAAATATTCTATACTCTGCCCTTGGGTTTTTATGTCCAAGATGCATTATCTTGCACTTATCTATGTTAAATGTCCATTTTTCGAGTTTACCTAAATCATTTGCCATTTGGCTTATCCCTCCTGGAACATCAACCCTGTTACATGTCTTAGTATTATCAGTAAAAAGACATACCTTACCATCGATACCTTCTGCAATATTACTAATAAAAATATTAAAGAGAATGGGTCCAAGTACAGATTCTTGAGGTACTCCACTGGTGACAAGTCCAAGCTTTGAATATACTCCATTGACTACAACCCTCTGTTGCCTGTCACTCAAACACTGCCTTACCCATTCAACAATATTGGAATCCAAACTTAAAGATTGCAGTTTATTGATAAGCCTTCTATGTGCAACAGTGTCAAAAGCCTTACTGAAATCTAGGTAAGCAATGTCTACTGCACCACCCTGATCTATTATTTTAGTTACCCAATCAAAAAAATCAATAAGATTAGTTTTGCATGATCTCCCTGAAGTAAACCCATGTTGTCTCTGATCTCAAAATCCATGTGTTTTTAGATGTTCAACAATCCTATCCTTTAACATGGTTTCCATTACTTTCCCCACTACTGAAGTAAGGCTTACTGGCCTATAGTTGCCCGACTCCTCCCTACTACCTTTCTTGTGAATGTGCACAACATTTGCTAACTTCCAATCTTCTGGGACTACTCCTGTTAACAATAATTGGTTAAATGCATCTGTGTATGGTTTTGCTAGTACACCACTAATTAATCTCAATCTGTTAGGAATACATTTTAAATGATTGATCTAGATAAAATTTCCATAGCCTTTACTGATATTTATCCTCTAAATAATTTGGAAAGTCTACCCTATTGTACAGTAAGGTTAGGACACTAGGTGCATATGAGTTAATATCTCTAACTTAAACAACCATCTAAAATCAACTTTACGTTTCAAGTGCTATTCTATATAGCCCACTTGGTATTCTTGTACTAACACTGTGGGAGTGACCAAGGCAGTGTGAGCTGGTTGCAGCAGATAACTTTGCAACTTACCTTTAGTAAATCGTTAATGTCCTAAGCTAACATCTAAGATAATGTAAACAAGAGATTGTGAGAGCAAGAGTTTAATTATGGTAGAACACACATAGCAAAAATTCCAAAACATTCCTCATTCACAAATGCATAGAATCTCAGAAAAGCTTCAGTCATGAAATGATTAATAACCATTTTTTCGTTTTGTTTTTTTGTTCCTTTTTATTTAATTTACTCTGTTTTTTTAATGTTCTGTTTATGTTTTATATTTACTTCAAAATACATTGGTTTCACTTTATTTTCATCCTTACATTCTTTTTGTTTGAAATCTTATTTTTAAAGAATGGGTTACGTATTATGTATGTAAAGGAGATATTAATTTGTAATTGTGACTTGCAGAATTATTGACAAGACCTTTAATCGCAGTGTAAATGTAATTAAATGTTACACAAAATGTAGCTCAACAGTAAAAATCACAAAATGGTGCACTATTTTGTTTTTGTTTTTCTACTAAAGGTATAGAATGTGTTGCCTATTAAGTCTGTGACACTCTGTACCTTTATGTCAGAGAACTGTAGTGTGCACTTATACATAACTGCACATTTTAGGATGGTTTGGAAAACACACTAAGTTGGATAAACTTTAGAAATTTGGACATTTTGTTTTAAAATGTGAAATTCCTGGTCAATTCCTGACAATTTTAGTTTAGCAAACATCCTGCCAAGTTTGCGATTCTTTAAAAAAAAAACGTAAAATTAGACACTTGCTTACAAATGTCTGTTTATATTAGGAAATACTTTTGCACAATCTTGTAACTCAATTTGGAATGTTGATTGAATGGTTAGTAGGTGAGATTGTAATTCATCCACATTATTATATATTATTAATATTATTAAAATTGGACTTTTAAAGACATTTATTCTGCTAATTACAAGATTTTTGGTTGGCAAAAATAGCGGGGTGGGGCGGGATATAATTTTTATCTCCTCTGGTGGTACACCTTCCAACCTTCAAAATGTGTTAATCTAACCCAGAGGGGGAAAAAACCTCAAACAATTTAAATGGTACAAATAAAATATTGGCAATAAAAAAATGAATATAATGCTTATTTGTTTGAAAACCTGCATTAGCATAATAAAAATCCACATTAGATTTTAGCATTAATAAGGTTTACAGTTGGCACAAAGATTATATTTCACAAGCTCAGCAGAAATATATATTTTTGTTTTGCTATATTTTTAAGATTTACAATGACAAATCTATTTGTAAATCCAACTGTTCCATACTTTCGAAAGAGAGAAAGCATCGAGCACAATGGGCAAGCTATTCTATCTCCAATAGGCACTGATGGAATAAATGGACCTTGACAAATTACATGTTCTAGGTCAGTTTAAGCCATTAGAAATTATTATCTGGTGGGATGACATTTAATTGGATAAATCATGAATGCTTTGTATCTATTTCAGTTTTGTTCCAATTGTTCATTCTTTATCAGGAAGTCACTCTAAATGTTTTATTTGTTTAGTGTTCTCAATAAAGAGCCTTGAGATTTCAATAGTGTATTTCTAATTCAGCAGGAGAAAATATATTTCTTGCAAAGAAAGAGAATTTGGTGTCTTATTTAATGGTTGAAAGAGTGAAATAGATAAGCTTTTCTTTGCGTTAAGGATATAAATCTTGGCAAATAAAATGTTTGTAAAGAACTGTTAAAATTATAATACACTATATCTTAAGGAATTAATGCTTTAATAATACCTATTTATATAAAGTAGCAATAAATATAATGCAATGATCAACAGGGACAATCAATGCAGGTTGATAAGGTTTAAAATGCTCATGCACGAGATGAATTGTGAAAGAACATGAAAAGATATTCAATTTTTCCTAACAAGACTGTTAAGCATTGGACTGTCTTTGTCAAATAGTGATCATAGGTGTAACTTAACACAGGATCATTCATCCCAGACTAGGCAAAAGAATATTGTTATCACAAAACATTTAATTATACAAGCCTATTTCTTAACAGTAAGAGATATCCTGTGTGACATGATTGCTGTTTCCCATCAGCTCTACAATAAGATATATTAAAGAAAAAGAAAAACATGATCAACTAGATTCAAAAGCGATATTCATTTTTAATTGCATACATTGCAGACAATACGGGTAACAAACTTTTTGGAACCCTAAAACCATAATTTGTGAACCAAACAGCAATGGACCAAAGTTCTTAAAAAATTGTGATGGCAACATTTTGTGTTACTTATAACCCTAAATTTAAACCCTCTTAAAACCTAAATAATCCTTTTCCTTATTCCAAAATTTAAGCACTTAAAGCCAAAACCTCAAACAAAATCCCTTACCTTAATCTTAGGTTTAACTCCTTGTAAAAACTAACTACCCCATACACCCCAGTGCTAAATATAGCATCACTTTAACCCTGAGCCCACAAATTCTAAACATCTCTTACCTGGGATACCGGGATACCTATAACCAATTTCAAACATTTAATCCCCTTAACAAAGAACATCCTATATAATCTAATTCTGACATTAATCTCTTTCTTATCTAATCAAAAGGACTTTGCCAAGGAAGGCTGCGTGGTCACGTCCCCTATCCCCTCCTATAAATACTGCGTACAACGTCCCATGAATTGGAACACATGTATGTTAAAAAGCCAGGGTCCTCTATTCGAGACAATCAGGTTGTGCACGGGTCCTAAAGTCGTGGGAACACCACAACTTGACGCAGTGTGTTATGTCCATGGTAACACAGTTCTTGCTGCAATACACATACCAAATGTCCATTTATAAATTGCTCAAGTCCACAAAAATGATATGTTGGAGTTATGAATATACAATAGTCGCAACACTATTGCATTTTATTATATATTGTTCCACAGTTTTACAGAGTGTTACCGGGTATGTTGGAGTAGGTTTTATTCACTAATTTATTACTTTGAGCAACACACTACTTAACTACAGTGGCTTTTATTGGGTGCCTTTGTTTGCTTGTTGTTTTGACATGGCCCTTTAAAGAAATGTAGCAAAATGTTTAAGAGTGGCCTGGAGGTTACTTCCCTGGGTTGATGAGGGGTCCATCTGTCCATATACAACCTGTCACTGTCATCTATTGACTCTATCCACAACATCCCTCCACTCAGCTGAAAGTTGGTAGTAGTGGGGGAGGGAGGAGATATTGCTGCTTGCTGCTACTGCAGTTTTTTTTTTTTTTAAATGCCTGTCATTGTGGTTTCACCATGCTCTATGATTATGTTAAAAAATTGTTTGCTGCTTGGTGGATTTACCACTTCTGTAACATCATTGTGTTTAACTGCAGTGCACACAGTCAGGGGAGTACATTTGGCACCTGGGGCGGTGCTTTAAAATGTAAAAAAAAATTTTTAATGCATAAGTTTGGTTATATATATAATGGTGGGGTTTGTATGTAGTGTTGACGTTGAAATGGAGGGGTTTATTTGTGTGTAGTGTTGACGAGATTCTGAGATGTATGCACATATACACATATATACACATATATACACATTGACACACATGCAGATACATAGACACACATACAGACACGGTGGCGACTCTAGAAACAATATATAGTGGGGCACATAAGATACCACAGTCAAAACTGGGGGGGCACTAAAACTTTTCACTAGGGGATGGGGTAATATGCTGCCATTGGCTGCCTGAAGCCAGCATGCAGTGCACATTGGCATCAGTCAACAAATGTGCATATAATTCCCACTAGCCACCCAGATTTCTTGTTGTGGGCTGGCTGGCTGACACCTCTTAACTTTGATCT